CACACACACACACACACACACACACACACACACATATATACAGGAAAAAAGTTTTATCTGTTTGATATTCACTGCCATATTATTTATAGTAGTGAAAATATCTACATGAGCTGAGCATGGTGGGACACACCTGTAATCCCAGCACTCAGGAGGATGAGGCAGAAGGACTGCCGTTAGTTCGAGGCTAGCCTGGGCTACAAAGTAAGTTCAAGGCCTGGTTGAAGTACACAGCAAGACCCTGCCTAAAAAAAATCTACATGATTAAAAACAGGGGATGAGACTTATAAATCAGTTTATGTAGGTGATAAAAAACTCTACAGACTTTGCACATATTTAAAAAAATATACCCAGTGGGCCAGGGATACAGCACAATGGCATAAGCACCTGCCTGGCAATCACAAGGTCCTGAGTTTGAGTCCCAGTACCAAAAAGAGACAAAAACACTCACAGCCAGACATGGTGATGCACATCTGTAATCCCAGCACTCTCCACTGAGCCAGGAGGATCACCATGAGTTCAAGGCTAGCCTGGGACACAGGGAGTTCAAGGCCAACTTAGACTACATAGTGAGACCCTGTCTCAAAAAAACAAAAACCAAACAAAACAGGTAACAACAACAAAAATTTTAAAAATACCCAGTATAATGCTGGTACGTAGTAGACACCCAATAAATGGAGGTCTTTTCTTTCCTGGATTGCTCTGCGTATTGGTCAGTGTGCTTGGCAAATTGTGAAGTGCCTGGAGAAAGCTAGTTGTTCCTACCCTAAAGGCTACTTCTCCCCCACTTCATCCTGGATGGAGCGATACTTCCAGGCACAACAGTGCCTAAGAGGTGGCATGGAACAGTAGCTTCTTCCCTGGCTGAGGCATGGGGATAGGGGAACTGATTCCTTGGAGAATCTGGGTCCTTTGCAGGCACTGCCACTCTAGTCCACGTCATCAAGAAAACACGGACGTCCTCCCCAGCACGTACGGGGCGTCACAGAGCGTGTGGAACCACGCTGACCCTGCTGGCTCCGTGCAGTGACAGTGCTCTGCTGTCCAAGCACCCACTGAGTGTCAGGCATTGTCCTGGGTGCTTTACACATGAGTTCACAGATTCTCACAACCACCCAAGGGGAGTTGTTCAGCTGCACATCACCGATAAGGAAACTCAGGCTCAAAGGGGCCAAGTAACTTACCAAGGTAGCTGGCGAGTGGCAGAGCTGGCACTGGGACCTGGCTCTCTGCCGTATTAATTTGTGATCTAAGCACCGTAAGTATTATATTTGGTCGGCGTGAGGAGGTGCGCTGGGTGGAGACTGCTGAGGCTGGTGTCTGGAGCAGCCTGCAGAAGGAAGCATGTTCCTCCAGCATTCATGTACATGTAGGCACAGACTCCAACTCCTCAAAGGCCAAAGACAGCATTCTGCTGAAGTCTTTCATCCCACAAGGAAGTTTTCCCATGTGTTTCACCTCCATCTTGCCTGCTCCACCCAACCCCTCCTCTTTTGTGCTTCCAGTGAGGATGGGAGAAGATGACCTGGCTCCTCATGATCCCTCCATGCACAGTTCCAGGGCCTTCTATTTCCCAGCTCTGTGGAGGCCACGACAAGGATGCTTTAGTCTTTTCAGCCTTCGCCCCGCCGGACCAAAGCAAAAGACACACAGGAGAAATGGAGCAAGGCTAGTGTGAAGATGAACCTGGGAATCTCTTGAGACTTCACACTACCTCACACTTGGGTTAAGGTGGGCTTTGGATTTGGGCTTTGGATCTGCCCAGCTATGGAGGTCTAGCCAGTGTCCCAAGCCTGAGCCTCTTGGTATGACATCTCTCTTACATGTCTCTCAGACAGTAAGGAGGGGTTAAGGGTTCTGCCACTTGGTCTTCCACTTCCCTTCCAGTACTACCTGGCTGCATTTGCTTTGGTTCAGCTAACACAGCTGGGGGCTCAGAGATGCCCAGGGAAGAGAAGGGTCTTGTCGGGAGGATGTCGAATCCCAAGGCTGGGTCAAATGAACTCTTCCAGGATCTCGAGGTCAGATCCAGAGCTCTTGCCTCTCTTCTTGTGAGGACCAGAAGGGCAACCAGGGCCTGAGCCTGGACACACAGAACGGAGGGGACGTGTCATTCCTTCCTCCCTCTCCCACACATTGTTTAATCCTGCTGGGGCCCAAGCATTCCCACTGCTCATCCTGGCTTCCCTGGCCCATCTGCCCGATGGACAGGAGAGGGTTAAAGGCATAGTATGGGCAAGCTATAAATTTCCCATCAGTGTAGGGAGAGCAGGATTGTCGGCAGGGAGGGGGTTGGGCTGGGGGGAGGGGGATCTGGGAAAAAGCCAAGAGGTTGTCTCTAGGTAACAATAAACACTGCAAGCAAGGAGCAGCTGTTACACTTACTCTCTCTGCATCACAATGCTGAAATAACACTAATAAACCAGTGTGCCCAATGCACAGGCACACACGCATTCAGCGCTGGGGCCCCAGCGCACACCTAGGGCTGCCCTCTACTCCAAGGCAGGGCCCTTGATGCCAGTGCACACACCAGTGTCGGCCTGGGCATACATGAGGGCCAGGGTGAAGATAGATGAGTCTTTCCCAGCCCACGGACATCCGCAGGATCGGGGAAGCAGCAGACTCTGGGAGCCAGGGTTCAGATCCTGATGGCATTCTCGGATGGAAAGGACTCAGAAGCAGATAGCTTTCAGCAGGGCGCTGGGAAGAGCTGAAGAAAGTGTGAGAGAAAAGTGCAGAGAACAGAGCAGCACTTACTGTGTCCTCTCAGTCTAGAGGGGACGAGGTAGCGAGGAGCAGAGGTGGCCAGAAGAGTTTGCTAGTGAGATGTGAAAGAAAAGGGGAAGAGAGCCGGGGCTGAGGAGAAGGATCAGGAGCATGTGGCAGGAAGAGCAACTCTTACCTGTCCTAGTGCTCAACTCCCCACACCTGCCTACACCCCACCTGGTACACTCAGCGCCCCTTCGCAGTGCCCCTTTTATACCCAGAACCTAGGGATGTGTTGGGTTAGTCAGGACTGAGCTGTTTTGTGTTTTTTTTTTTTTTTGGTACTGGGAATCAAACTCACGACCTTGCGCTTGCCAGGCAGGCGCTTATGCCGCTGAACTACATATCCCATCCCAGGACTGAGCTTTGTCCTGGGCTCCCTAGGCTTCTTGTGCTGCCAGGGAGAAAGGGGGTACATACGGTTGACCCCGCTAGCCTGGATTAAGTGTGCACGGTCTCTTTTTCCAACCAAAACCATCTCTGGATCATTAGGGGCAGCTGGGCAGCAGGCCCCTCACCCTAGCTGCAGGAGCTGCTAGCAACAGAAGGGACATAAGTGGGCAAATAGAAACTCAGGCTCGGTCACGGACTCCCTTCCTCTAGCCCATCCTCTGGGCCAGATACCAGCGTCTTTATTTCACGGGTGCAGATACACCAGTGCCCAAGAGCCCTGGCTGTTTCCTTGGCCAGGTCCAGCCCCAGTCCCCAGGACTATGGTTGGGGCATGAATGGTTCTATGGATCCATTTGCTGGTTTCTTTTTCCTGGTGTGATCTCCAGCAGTGTCCCATCCTTCCAGATCCAAAAAGGATGGAGAAGGCCTGGCCTGGAACAAGGAGGACATCTGCACTTTTGAATACCTGCAGTTCTGCTCCATTCCCAGTCTGCCATGGCCTGTCCAGCCAGCCCAAGCCCCTAGCTGCTCCTCTCTCATCCCAGGTTTCTACAGCACGAATAGTACTGAGAGGAGGTGAGAATCTGTCCATGTTCTGGTCTGGCGGCAGTAGGGCTTTATGTATATATGTATGTTCTAAGCAGTTGGTGTCAGCTGGCTACCCAGGGTTCTAGGCAGGCAGATGAGGGCAGGGAGTAGTAGCTATGTCCTCTCCTGGGAAAAGACATGGGGTGCGGGGAGGGTGAGGACCGGGCTGCTCCCGCACATGCACTCAGGCAGCCTGCAGAGAGCAGGGCGAGGCTAACCGGGCTCTCCTAGCCTTTCCTCTGGAAGCTCCTCACTGGAGACGGTCAAGCTCCCCGGTCCCCTGGCCCTTTTCACAGCTGGTACCTTCCCTGTCACAGACCTCAGAATGGGGAGAACTGGGGTGACGAGAGCACTAGCAGGCTGGGCCCCTCGCCTCTGGTTTTCAGGAACCACCCCCACTGCCGTGAGTCACCAGAACCTCGGGCTCCACTGAGTTGTCAGCAACCTCCCCTCCCTGCTCTGCCAGCCCGGCAAGTAGGCACCTAAGGGGCCCAAGGCCCACCCCCTTCCCACAGGGCCACCCCTTGCATCCCTTGGAATCCACAACACACACATGGAGATGCGCGAGTGAAGGAGTGTGAGAGATCCCAGCATGTGCTGTGCTGGGGCAGGGAGCCGACTGCCTGCACACGGAACAGGAGTGCCAGCCAGGAGAGCTGGCACTCGGGCACACAGCTCGCTGGCATGAGGGCAGCAGGAGAGGGCGGGGTACGGAGGCCGTTTTGGGCAGGCATATCCTGCGGCTCCCTCTCTGGCAGTTTCCTCTCCTTGGTGCTGATGGGCACCATGCACCGCCACCTCCCCTCCTCTTCACTGCCTCCTCCACTCCTTCCTTCCCCAGCACTGGGAGCTCCACAGAGGGACCTGCATGAGCACCCCCAAGCTATCAAAGTGACAGGCTTGGGTTCCTACAGTTCTCCAAAGGAGAGGAACGCCTGGGCCAGGGAGGAGGATGGGTCCTGTAGAAAGGAGGCTATGCCCGGGTCAGTGCACCTCGACCTGTTCCTTTCCTTTGGAAGGCGGGAATTCTGGACGCTGCACCTCTGCCTCCCATGCAGCTCGTCCACTCTCCTTCCTCAAACAGCTCCAGGCTTCTCCTGGACTCCAGAGCGGGCTCCAGGCTCAGACTGCAGGCTCAGAAACCCTGGGTGCTTGAGGCAGGGCTGGCAGGGCCTGAGGCTGGGAGGCTCTGTTCCCTAGGCAAACACCCAGAACCTGGAATGGTGGAGTTAGGCCCTCCCAAGCCCTGCAGCAGGGAGGGAAGAAGGGCGACAGAGGCTGAGCGAGGGCGGCAGCTTCTCCAGAGCAAGTCTTTGCTGCGTGCTCTTCTCCACTGCTTTGGGTTCTAGGCAGAGAGGGCAGCGTGGAGAAAGCTGCCACTAATAAACCCTCCAAGTGACTTTCACTGTGAGTGTCCCTGCCCAAAGGGCTAGCATGTCCCCCGTCTTCTCCACTTGCAGGCTTCCTCATATGTCCGAGAGCAGAAGCTTCCTTTCCAGCCCTGCACAGTTCTCCACCAGCAGCAGCCCTGAGCCCCTGAAGGAAGGCAGCGGGCCTGGGAGGGGTTTTTCTGGGCTGTCCTCAGGGACACGAGTGGCCCAACACCCCAAGGCCGTGGAGCAGGCAGAGGACTGGACAGCAAGTGAACAGGCTGGGGGTCTCAGGGAGGGCAGTGGGCGGCTGGCACTGGAGAGGCCATCCTGCTCCGCCCCGGGGCCTGGTGTAGAGGAGAAGGCGAGGACAGAGGAGGAGAAGGCAGTTCTGGGGGTGGGAGGAGGTGTGGGGGCCTGGGAAGTGTGACACGGCTTCTGCCTCCAAGCTCTGCGCCATCCTTGTTCTACTCCAACTTCGCCTCAGGAAGCTTAGAACAAAGTCTCAAAGATTTTGAGCAAAGAGGAGGGTGCCAAGAAAGACTACCTTTGGCCACCTGGTGGAAAGCTCCCTGTTGCCTCACCTTTCCTTCCTGAGCCCTAGCAGGTGGACAGTAAGGGAGCAGAAGAATGGGGAAGGCGGCAGCAGCTGTCCTTCTGCCCAGGCATCAAAGCCACAAGAGTGGGTCTCAGAGGTGCAGGCCAGGTCACCTGGGGAACCAGGGCCCTGCATTTGAATTCTGTCTCTGTTCTAGGCTTAGACACAGACGAGAGGTGTCAGATCGCATCTCACTACACCTTTGACATGACTGTCTCCGGTGCTTTCACTTACAGCAGATAAACTTGGGATAAGAGTCCCAAAAAGACATCATATCTAGTCCTTGTTGGGGGATTTATTTCTGGCGAAGGAGATAGGGTAGCTGCCATTTCCGTCCATGTAGACCTGAGAGCCCATGACAACATCTCATGGAGTGGGGCTGCAGAAACCATCTCCTTGGAAGCAAGGGAATGTATGGGATGGCCCTTGGACAGGCGACGTGAAGGCACTGTCTCCCAGTAACACCCCGTAGAGTCTGCACCTGCCTGACTCTGCTCCCTGGCCATTTTTTTTTTTTTTTTTTTTTGGTGTTAAGGACTGAGCTTTAGGCCTTGGCCATGCTGCTTCTAAGACTCAGGGGTCAGAGATGGGAGACTTCAGGCCGTGGACCCTAAGATCCTACTTACCCTCTTCACCTGACTGTCCTCCCTCCACACCTACCTAGGTTTCCTTTTCCTGCTTCCGGGAAGTCTCCAAATCCAGGAACACAAAGCAACTCCCGGGCAGGATCCCACTCAATTCCCCTCTCTGGATCTTGGTTTCCACATCTGTAAAATAAAGGGTTGGGCAAGATGAACCCCATGCTGTCTTCCTCACAGCACTGAAGTTGTGATTCAGACCCTGAGACATCCCACTCGCTTGCATGTAACCTCCGCGACACTTATTTCACAGCAGAACCTAGAAACTGCGCTCAAATCTCCCTCCCTCGCCTTGCAGTCTTTGGTTCCATGGTCCCTCGCTCTAGTCCTCTCCTCAGGAACCTCAGACCTCTGTCCCCAACTTCCTCTGACAATTGTATCACACTCCCTGGGCTAAGCTGACTGGACCCAACATCAGGAAGTGACCTTACCTACTATCCTGGCCGCAATTTCGGGCTCCAGACCTGAGACAACCAGCACAGCCCCCTCCCCTTCCTTTTGGAGGTCCTGGCCGCTGGGGGAAATCCTGGCACCTCTCTCCAGTGCCTCCCCACCTCCTCCACCTCGCTGTTCTCCATGCCAGCACGCAAAGTGGCCAGTGATTGATGGGCCTGGGTTCCCGGTAACCGCACCCAGTGGCCCAATCCTCCTCCCTTCCCCAATCCCTCCCCTGTCCCTATTCAGAGCTCAGATTGTCTCATGTTGGTCCCTAAGGTCCCATTAATTAAAAATACATCCAATTAAATGGCAGGTGAAAGCGTGCTGCTGGAGCTCCACCCCCCGCCCCAGCCTGGTCTCTCCACTCCCCAACCCTGCTAAGGCTCAGCTGTGCTTTAGCTGAGAAAAAGGGGGAGAGAAAGGAGGAGAGTAGAGGAAGACACAGGGGTAGGACGATGGCAGGGGGGCTACTTGAACCTCTGCCAGGGTAGCATGTGCCAGCCTGGGAGGGTGGCACTGTGCCCTGGTGTCTAATTTCTGGAGGTGTGAGTCAGTTCAGTCAGCTGGGTACCCACCTCCGTTTCCCTTAAAAGGGCAGAGGGCAGAGGGGGTGTGGCCAACTGCGCTGCCCACTTCTGCACTTGGTGGGTGAAGGGCAGAAGTGTAAATGGTAGCAGGGCCTTCAGAAGGGTGTGATGTTTAGAGGTCAGAGGGTCTCAGACCTCCATTCTTGCCATATCTCTGCTCTTCCCCAGACTGGGAGGAGGATAATGAGGAGCGATGGGGACCCAGGTGCAGGGCACAGCGACACCGAGCCTGGCCATGGCTGCTCTTGCCCACAGGAAACCAAGAGATGGATGCAGGGAGTGAGAAAGGAAGGAGCCATGATTTGGGTAAGGGCAGACAGGTCAGACAGAATGGAATGGCACAGAAGTGGGTATTCATGTGGGCACCATGCCCCTGAGCACAGTGTAGGAAAGCGGGCTTGGAGGGCCTCGCCCTGCCTGCCCTTGCTCTGGGCAGAAGCAGCACAGTTGCGTGCAGTCACCTTGGCCCGGCTGCCTGGCAGGCTATGAGCAGGCCACCCCCTGCACGAGCGGCGGCTGCTCTCCTGCTCCTCCAGCCTCACAGGGTCCCCTCACAGGCCTCCCCCAGCGGAGGCCCGTCTGGAGCATAGCGATGCGCGGCTGATAGGCACTGGGTACTGCTGGAGAGCAGCTAGCAAGGAAGGGGACTAAGGGTGGCACTCAGGATCCAGGCAGGAGTGGGGGTGCCGGCCCAGGGCCCCCGTCTGGCCTCCTTGGCAGCCTCCGCACCTCCTCACTTCACTTTAACGCTAATTGGAGATTTTAATCTGCACTGCTGCTCTGCTCGGGGTGCTGGGGGGAGCGCCAGCTGTGCAGTAATTCCAGCAGCACCGACTGTTTAATCAAGCTGTCCTCCTGGGGAGGGGCCTCGGGCACGGGGCGGGGAGGACCTCTGTCATCTCCGGGAGTCTACACAGCCTGGAAGGGGTTCATGGGGACTGAGGGTGGGTGGCGGGTCCTCACTCCCATGGGTGTTCCGTGACACCGCTAGCAGTGCCAAACCCGGCAGAGAGTGGGTATGAGGCTCATGGCCAATGCGGTTCACACACATGCCCCTCTGGCTCAGAGCCCTGGTGTGTCCTGAGTGTACCCCAGCCATTCAGGCTGTCTTGAGTTCTGTGGGTTTGTGCTGGGGAGCTGATGGGTTGACTCACTTTCCCTGTCTTCAATTTCCCCAGTGCTTTCTCACTAACAAAGGTTCTTTTCTTTTTGGTTTTCTGAGAGTCTCACTATGTTGTTCAGGCTGGCCTTGAACTCACTATGGGCCTTGATTTGCAGTGATCCTCCTGCTTCAGCCTCTCAAGTACTGGAACTACGGGCATGCCCCACCACGGCCAGCCTCAGAGATACTTTTCTCAGAACACTTGTAAGAGACCCCCCCCCACCCCAAAACCACATACCCTCTGGCTCAGAAAGCAACTATCATGGAGGCAAGGGGACAGTGGAGGGGAACAGCTGGCGCATGCCACGCCCTAAGGGAGACAGCACCTGTGCAAAGTGTTCTAGGACTGCAGCCAGGGCTTCCTGGGCTCAGGTGGGAGTGCGCTGAGGCCGCAGGCCACCACAGCTCAGTGTCTCAGGGTTGAGGTCATCTCACAGGAAGAACAAGTGGTGCTAGTCATTTGCTGGCTCCCCAGCTCCGCATCTGGGCTCTCTGGGGGCCTTCTGACCTGTTCTGGGGAAAGGTCGCCTTCACCCAGGCTACAAGGAGTGAGTTTTAATTGGTCAGCAGTGCCCTCGTGTGGCAGAAACCAGGACTGCAGCTGCCCAGCAGGTGCGACTGGGACTGGTGGGAGCCACTGACACCCAGCTTGCCGGTCAGGCTGTGGAGTCATCATTGTTGGTCGTCTCTGAGCCGTCAAGGTGTCCTGTGCATACATACTACCTGACTACTTACAGGTACACTTCCTGCTTCCTAACATCTGCTTGATCCCTCTTACACACCATGGTCCACCTGTTCCACTTCTAACTCAAAGCAGCTGCCTACCGGGAAGGCAGTGCCTTCCTCAGAGACAGTGCTTCTGGCTTCTGCCGGCGGGGCTGGCCCGGCCTGCTGCTTGTGCCGTTGGGGCTGCAGGAGCTGAGAGAGGCATTGCCAAGGTCACAGGGATAAGGTGATTTCACTCATGGTGCCCAGGCAGCAGGAGGATGCTCTGACGCCTGACCACTCTCCAAAGCTCCCAGCGGGCAAAGAGACCTGGGCTAAAGGAGGGGAAGTCCTAGTGGCTGACTCTACCCTCAGACACCTCCCTAGGGATCTGGTAGGAGTGAGTAAGGCCAGACAGACTCTCAGAGCCTAAGATCCTGGTCCTGGGAAATGGGTACCAGATAAAACCCTTTTCCCTCAAAAGAATCAGGTATTCTCCCTGGGTGCATATCTGGGGCTTCAGACCTCTAGCACCCAGGAGAAGGGCCATTTGTCACCATATCCCTCCTCTGTGAGAACAGTATCTGATTACTGGTCCCTTTCCAGACCCCTTAAATGTCTGTGCCACAGGAAAAGGATGGACCTTTGACACCAGGAGGGGCTGCTGGAAAATCAGGGCTTGGGAGTCACCAAGGCTTCCTCTTTGCTGTGGTGCTGGGATGCAAACCCTGGACCTTGTGTGCGCTAGGCAGGTGCTCTGCTACTGAGCCACAGCCCAACCCAAGACTTTCCTTCTAGGTGAAGCCAAACAACAGAAATGGTCCCAGAGAAGTCAGGCCTACTGGCACACTCCTATAGTTCTAGCACACCGGGAGGCTGAGGAAGGAAGGTCACTTGAACCTAGGGGTTCAGACTTATCTCTGGGAGGAAACATACCCAGAGACAACAAGCACCTACCAGGGGTGGGGCAGGAGCAGCACACTTCCCAGCAGGCAAGGAGGGTGGAGGTGGTGGGCAGGTGATGCACCCACTCGGCGCTGGGGATGGAGGACACAGGCTGTAGGCCTCTACTTCTGGCATCTCACACGGCGTCTGGACAGGTAGAATTGTTCACTGAACCTGGAAAGGAGGTGGAGAAGCTGGTCAGAGGCAGTGAGGAGAGATCTACTGTCCCACTAGGACTTGAAGAAAGGGACACAAAATAGCTCTCTGGGAAGGAAGCATTTGGTGTGGGATAGGGGGTGGCAGAAGAATGGGGCAGCTGTCCTAGAGCAGAGAATTGAAAGTGCTCCCACTGTGGAGGGACACCCTGGACGCAGATGGTCAAAAGGAAAGAACATAAGGGAAATGACTCTCTGTGCCAAAGAGGGTCACCCACTCTAGCTGGAAGAGGGAACTTGTTAACCAACAGGCAGAAAACCAGAATGGGGTTAAAAACAAACAAACAAACAAAAAAAAAAAAAAAAGGAGAAATTTCCTTGAAGCTGGGCACATCTATAATCGCAGCACTGAGGAGGCTGAGGCAGGAGAATTGCTGGGGAATTGAGGCCAGCTTGGGCTACAGAGTGAGTTCAAGGCCAGCCTGTATTATTTAGTGAGATCCTGTCTCAAAGAAACAAAACAAATAATCAAACAGAAATTTCCCTGAGACCAGAAGTGTGTGTGGGG